CTGGCTTGTGACGGACGGCGAGCCTCGGGACTCCGCAAAGTCTCTCGGAGTCCTCGAACTCAGCCCAGAACAAGATGCGACAAGAAAAAAAAAGTGGTGACAATCCCACTCGCGGATCGACAAAGCCTCAGCGCGGCGCGAGATGAATAGAACCCCTAAAAAAAAACACACACACACACACACTTGCTTCACATTTCAGATAAGTGTCAACCTGAATCCATAAGTGTCTCCCGCTAAGTTACATCGATTTGGACTCTGGTGTAATATCATTAGAGCAGAGGGCTAAATAGGTTCGTTGCCGGATCTATAATCGGCATCACTTATTTAGCGAGATACAGTTACTAATCACTGGTATGTTTGCGCAACAGTACGGAATGGGCCAACGTGGCCGGGATCCAATCTCCACATCGAAAGCTTTCACCGTCCCGTGTTATAATTATCCTACGATTGCTCGGACACTTGATCCGGCGCCTCGTTGTGTCATTGAAATGTCTCAGAGTTAGTTCTGCTTCGCCGGAAATTAAAAAGGTGATAATGATTCGGTCGCCCAATTTAAGTAGGAAGTTTGTGGGGTGGTGGTGGGGGGTGGGGGGGGGGTGGAGGCTGACGTGCGCAATTGGCTGCCGCGTTTCGCCCGCAAGTGATGCAGTCGCTGCGCTTTACGGTGCGTCCCGCGAAGCGCTTTCAGACGTCTCGACGACGGGATAAGGCGCTGTGTCAAATGCAGGGATTATTGTTACGACGATGATGATTACTATTATTATTGTGAGCCCAGGGATGGATGTCCCTGGAATAGTTAAGGGCAGAGGGAGAGAGGGAGTGGGTGGTAGGAATCGAAATGCTGCGCGGTTTCAATATGGCGCGTTCGGGACACTTAACCCGAAGGCTAACGAGTTAGGACCTCGGCCTCTTTTCACGTCCAGCAGTTTCTTACGCATCCGTGCGGATGTTGAACAGCTGCGGGCGATCGATCCGCTCTTTATTCGGAGACACTGCGTTTACGTGCGAACCGCAGAGTCTGAGGTTCTTATTTGAAGCCAATTCCTCCACATTGATGGAAGAGATTCGGGAATCACAGTATCTTGGCTGCTTCTCTCTCTCTTTCTCTCTTTTTTTTCTTTCATTCTCTCGCTCCTTCTCTCTTTTTACTCTTTCGTTCTTCTCTCTCTCTCTCTCTCTCTCTCTCTCTCTCTCTCCCACTTTTCCCACTCTTGCTTTCATTTTTCACATTCTCGCTCTCTCTCTCTCTCGCTTTTTTCTGAAGCTCCCTAGGACGCTGCCCTATGTGAAGGATGATAAATAAATACGAGTTGGCGTCCTGTAGCTCAGCGATGAGAGCTCTGGCCTCGCAAGCGAGAGGACCTGGGTTCGATTCCCGGGCAGGACAAGACCTCGGGCAAGTTTCCTTACTGCACACACCTGATAATAATCCCTGAAGAAAAAAGCCCAACAATAAACGTGGTCACTTCAATCCACGGCTGTTTGTGGGGACGCTGCTGTGCGCAATTGACTGCCGCGTTTCGCCCGCTGAATATGCAGTCAATTCACTTTACGGTATACTCTGTGAAGCGCTTTGAGACGTTTAGAAGATGCGATAAAGGCGCTGATTCAAACGCAAGGACTATTATTAAAGTGTTTTCTTTTCTTCTATCTCTTTTCTGGCTCTTTCTTTTGCTCGGAAGCCATGCACGTGTAGAGCTCTCTCTCTCTCTCTCTCTCTGCCGCGAGCAACAATTATGACTGGGGCTCTCTACTCCAGCCCCAGTCCCTGCTCTCTCACGCTCTCTCGCTCTCTCGCTCTCTCTCCCCCCCCCCACCGTGTCTGTGCCGGTGCTCGCTCCCCCTCACTGGAGCTCTCTACTCTTAACCCCGTTCCCCTACCACTGTCGTCCACTCCAACCTCACGCTGCGACACACTCAGCCTCACACTCTCACACACTCAGCCCTTGCACTGTCTCACACTGAGCCCTCGCACGCTCGCACACTCAGCCTCAGGGCTCCGCACACCCTCCACGCAACAAAAATGCGTTTCATTCCACCAAGTGAAAGAATTTGCAGTTCTGTGCGAGAGATGATTTATTGAACGCACCTATTGGATTTGCCAGTCAGCCGTCGAGTGAGCCAGTTAATCCCAACAAAATCCACCAGAGTGTGGAATAATAAATGATCAATAATGTATTACACACCGAGATGAAGCAACATGCATTTGTATGTGATGAATATTTCATTTTGAGCTGTTTTCTCACAAAAACACCCCCTCGAGTCTAATTTGATCTAAAATGTAATGTTAAAAAAAGAAACGCGACGACAGTCGGTGAAAGAGCCGAAAGTCGGGGTGAATGGGAACAAATTCATACTGACTTCCGCCCTGAGATCAAAAGGTAGTTTTACAGCGATGACAATCCTCGCATTCAATACCGCGCCTTGTTATGATAGTAACGATAAAAATAATAATAATACAAATAACGACAACAATAAAAATAATAATAATCCTCGCATTTGATATGGCGCCTTTGATATGGCTCGAACCCCTGCGGCGCGATTTGGAGCCGGTCGAGGGGAGGCAGCGGAGAGCGGAGTCGGAGGGAGAGAGAGAGAGAGAGAGAGAGGGGGGGGACGTCAGAATGGTAGGGTGGAGAAATGGTCGCAAGCGGAACTCCAATGGCCCCTTCTATCTGCCGTGGTGGGAGATGTCCGAGCAGGCGGTGATTGAGGAGCGACGCGATCATGAAGACATACTGCTCGCAATTAGGAGGGAAATTCAAATTAAAGTGAAACGTTTTTTCCCATCACCGCATTGATTGAAGGACAAAGGAAAACATGGAATTTTTTTTTCTCTTTCCCCCCCCACCACCTCCACTTCTCTGCGCCCCCCCCCCCCACTCCTCCCACCCCACTCCCTTGCACCCCCCCCACCCACACACTTGCCCCTACAACACCCCGCCACCCTCCAACCCCCCCCCTCTCCCTCAAATCTAACCATCTCCCGTTCATTCCCATTGGTGCTTTCCTCTCCTCGAATCTCCTCAAACCTCCCACTCTGGGAATGATATGGAGTCCCGTAGTATAGTGGTTAGAGGGCGAGCGAGAGGACCCAGGTTCGATTCCCGGCAGCGAGCAAGTTTCCTTACTCTGTTTGCGGGGACGCTGCTGTGCGCAATTGGCTGCCGCGTTGCGCCCACAAAATGCACAGTCACTCCACTTTACAGTGTATCCTGTGAAGCGCTTTGAGACGGCTCAACGACGTGATAAGGCGCCGTGTCGAATGCGAGGATTATTATTATTATATTATCATTATCCCGAGGTGCTACTCGAAAAGAGAAGGGGAGTTTCTCCTCCCAACCCCATCTGCCTCCCAGCTCGGTTCCCACACCTCCGCACCCCCCACCCCCACCCCCACCCCACCCCACACCCGCCACACACACACACACACACACGCACACCCCTTCGCCGTCTCTGCAAAGTGCTTTGAGTTGTTCTCCCGTCTTGTCAAAATAGGCTGTGTATAATTGTATAATTGTGTAATTGCGAAAGCGTTGGCGTCAGAAAAGAAAATAGCGTTGATATTTTCACAGCGGGTGGGGGGGGGGAGGGGAGGGAGGGGAATTTTTGTTTTCCCTCGAAAGAAAAGAGGTATTTTAAGCCCCCGGCAAGTCTGCCAGCGGTGGGAACTGATGCACCATCTAATCACGAGGCGAGCAAAGCGAAACCTTTCATTATTTCCAGAGTAAATTGAATTGCGCGCTGCGGTAAAGCCTCTCTCTCTGTATGCCCACGCGGCGTACCACCACCGAGCGAGCCACGCTTCAGTGTGGCGGAGCTGGGATGGCAGGCTATCTCGGCCCTCGCCTCTGGGTCAGAAGATTGCGGGTTCAAGCCCCAACGTCAGACGGGGTGGGTGGGTGGGTGGGTGGGGTGGGGGGAACTTTGAGATCACAGCCCTCAAGCTGCGTGTCAATGCAGCAGCCAATTCGGACCTCGCGTCGTCCCTTTTCTCTCCCTACCCAGCGCCAGCTCCAAGCGACCGATCAATTTTTGTTAGAATGATAATGATAATAATCCTCGCGTTCGGCACCGACGCCTTAGCACCTCGTTGAGACGTCTCAGAGCGCTTCACAGGATACGCTGCAAAGTTGGATCTTGAAACGTCGTGACATTGAAGGATAGCCGCTGATTTTTACCGGACATTTAGAACTCTCAGGGCTAATTGCTTCTGCTGTGCAGAGACAGACTGCCTTTAAAACAGCAAAGGCATTCAGTATTTTAAGGTACGGAAGTCAAACTACATTCAATTTACACGCGGGAAAATTGCCTTCAAAACTTGCGTTCAGAGCGCCTATTCTCTTTAAGGCAGACAGGACACATCTGTAGATCTCCAGACACGATGGGGAGATAGAGAGAGAGAGAGAGAGGGAGAGAGAGCCAGAGAGAGCAGGGAATGGGGTTAGAGTAGAGAGCTCCAGTGTTAGGGGGAGCGAGCCCCAGCACAGACATCAATCCACGGCTGTTTGCGGGGACGCTGCTGTGCGCAATTGGCTGCCGCGTTGCGCCCACAAAATGCACAGTCACTCCACTTTACAGTGTATCCTGTGAAGCGCTTTGAGACGGCTCAACGACGTGATAAGGCGCCGTGTCGAATGCGAGGATTATTATTATTATTTATTATCATTATCCCGAGGTGCTACTCGAAAAGAGAAGGGGAGTTTCTCCTCCCCCAACCCCCCCACCCACCCGCCCCAAGTGTCCGTAGCTGACAAACACCAACCCCCATCCACCCAGATAATTTTGCTCCACAATCGCAACAACAACTTGCATTTACGGCAACAAATTGCCCTCACGCAGGGCAGAGTCCCGGAGCGCCCCGCGGCTGGTTGCGCCCGTGTTGGCCGCTGCCGTGTTTGCCCACAAAGCGCACTTTACGGTGAATCCTGCAAAGCGCTTTGGGGCGTCCCCCCCGACGTGAAACCCATGTGGTCGTGAGGACCGTTATTGCTATTGCGATGACTTGCCACTCGCTGCTAAATTCGTCATCGATTGACTTTGCAGTGAAAGCCGTCAAACCAGTTGACGTGTGTTAGCAAAGGTGATGGCGGTGGGGCGGAGCGGGGGGGGGGGGGGGGGGAGTGTGGGGGCAAAGGGCAGACTGGTGCCCTTTGCCTGTCTCGTTGATGTAAACGGCCTCTTTAACGCATTCGTCTATCGAACCCTGGGGTCGGGGAGGTGGGGGCGGAGAGCAGAGGAGAGGAGAGGAAAATTCCTGTGTCTTATTTCCGAGACGAAAGCGTATGTAGTGATTCAAACCACAAAAACGGAACGGACATATGTTAAATTAACAGAGGGGCGAGCTCACAGCCGGGTCGATTAAAAGCTAGTGATATCTGTCATTAATTTTCTTTGACGGGCGGTACTTTAACTCGGTAGATTACATCCTGTAAAAGCTTCCATTGATTTCCGATTTTTCTCTCTCTCTCTCACACTCTCCCTACATCGATTGGTTTTTTTCTCTCTCTCTCTCTCTCCTTTCGTTCCCCCCTCTCCAGAAAGTTGGCTTGCGAAATAAAGTCGGTCGATTTCCCACTCAACCCCCACCAATTCCCCCCACCCAGTCCGCCCAATCCTCAGGCTCGTCCAAGCCCTCCGGTGAGCAGCGCTCTGAGACGCTATCCCACATGAAGGGCGCTGTGTAAATGTTTCTGAGTGAACACAGCGCCCAGTTTGCTCCTGGCAGCGTCCTAATGGGCCAAATGTCTCTTCTGTGCAGTAAATCTCTCAATGGTAAACGCTGTAGTCCTCAGTGGTTAGAGCACTCGCCTCGCAAGTGACAGGACCCGGGTTCGATTCCCAGGCCGGGCGAAACCTTAGGCAAGTTTCCTGGCTCCGCATACCTCCGTTTAACTAGCAGTAAGTTGGAACCTGGTTCTTAGTTGATTTCCGGGGGAAAAAATCCTCCCCCCAAAAATAATTGGATCACTCAATTGTTACAAAGGCACTTAGACAGATGAGTGGCAAAACTGTGGCAGATGGAGTTCAATGTAGGGCAGTGTGAGCTCGTCCACTGTGGAGAAAAAAGATAAAGCAGAATATTCTCGTAATGGGGGAGTAACTAAGAACTGTGGAGGAGCAAAGAGATTTGGGTGTCCATGTCCACAAATCACTAAAAACTAGTTCCCAGGTGCAAAAAGTCATCAGAAAGGCGAGTGGACTGTTGGCCTTTATCTCAAGGGACCTGGAATACAGAGCGGAAGAAGTGATGCTTCAGCTGTATAGAGCGTTAGTCAAACCCCATCCGGAGACTGCGTTCAGTTTTGGGCACCGCACCTCAGGAAAGATTATATTGGCCCTGGAGGGGGTGCAGCGCAGATTCACCAGAATGTTACCAGGCCCAAAAGGGTTAAGGTACGAGGAAAGGCTGCGTGACCTTGGATTGTGTCCCCTTGAGTTTAGAAGGTTGAGGGGGGATTTGATCCGTATTTAAGATGATAAAGGGATTCGATAGGATAGATACAGAGAAGCTATTTCCTCCGGCGGGGAACCCAAAACAAGTGGACATAGTCTTCAAATTAGAACCAGGCCGTTTAAGAGTGAAATCAGGAAGGATTTTTTCAATCAAGTGGGGGGTAGAAATCTGGAATTCTCTTCCCCCAAAAGGCCGTGGATGCTGGATCCATCCACGCCGTCAAGAGTGAGGCTGAAAGGGTTTTGGTGGGTCAGGGGACTAAGGGATATGGGAGATTGGAATTGAAAGGATTAGTTGAGGTACAGGTCAGCCATGATCTAATTCATTGGGGGAACAAGGCTCGAAGGGCTGAACGGTCTCCCCCTGTTCCTATGCTCGAACCACGACTGTTTGTGGGGACGCTGTTGTTTTAAGCGAGACGCTGAGACTCCACCCTGCGTGGATGGCGCTGTATAGGTGTAAGTTCTTGTCGCTGTGCGCAATTGACTGCCGCGTTTTGCCCACAAAGCTACTTCGCTCGACAGCGTGTCCCGTGAGGCGCTTTGGGACGTCTCGATTGACGCGGTGAGGCGCGAAATCAAAAGCACGGATTATTGTTGTTATCGCTGTGGTTCAGTGGAGGTGAGGATGGGTTGGGGACCAGGGAGAGTGCGTCCGTGCTTGGACTTGGGAGCGATTGAAACCGACGTGGCGAGAACAGAGGTCACCTTGATGCTCCCGAAAAAAGTTAATGAATTAATATGAATATTTATCATCAGAATAAATAATATATTTATTAATAAGAAAATACCAGCGTTTCACCATAAATCACTAACTTCATTCATTCTTTGCCTTCGGTGATTTGACGTTTCCGATAACGCGAGAAGGAGGTGAGATATGTTTGTTTGATTGCTCGGCTTTTGGTTCGAACCGAGTGCACGATTGACCCAGTGCTTTCCCGTCAAGTCCAGCGACTGCGCATTTTTGTGCGCGAAAGCCGGCAGCCAACTTGCACCCAGCAGCGTCCCACAAGCAGACATGGATTGAGTGATCGATTTTATTTGGGGGAATTGTCAGCCAGGACACCGAGAGAGTGAAAGAGAGAGAGAGAGAGAGAGAGACAGAGAGAGAAAAACTCCCTTCTCTTTTCCAATAGCGTTGTGGGATCTTTAACACCCACCTAAACAGTCGCAGACGGAGCCTCGGTTTAATGTCTCATCAGAAGGACGGCACCTCTGACAATAACCCCCCCCTCCACCCCCCCCCTTCACCCCCCAGCTCTGCATGGGAATGTCAGCTCAGACTGGGGCTTGAACCTACGATGGTGACCTTGGCCCCTTTGCCTACTAATGCTCAGTCACTACACTTCACAGAAGCCTCGCGAGATGCCTTTGAGATGTTGTCGGGGTTTCCAGCCGCTACATTAAATGCGGGGCTCCGTGTTATCTGATTAAGGGTAAATCTCTCGACTGAGATTTTGTACTGTGAAATGGTCCGCGTGTGCGTGTGCGTTTGCGTGTGTGTGTGTGTCGCTGATGCTTGTAATCTCGGAGAGCGTGAGTAGCTGCAGAGCACTCTCTCTGAGCAAAATAAAACCCAGGGGTTAGCCGAACAACAGGCAGGTTTCCCGATATCGTGAGACTTTCACAGACTGCGGGGGCGAGAGACGGGAAATTCCTCCCGTGCTGTTCCTTTATCTCCCGCGAGACGTTGAGGCAGCAGCCAATCGCAGATTTTTTAATTTACTGTAATAATAATAATCTTTGCATTTGATACGGCGCCTGATCACGTCGTCGAGACGACCCAAAGCGCTTCGCGGGATATAATTTGGGGTAATTTTGTGGGCGAAACAAGGCAGCCAACTGCGCACAGTTGTCTCTGAAGGATTGAGCGACCACTTGTTTTTTCGAGGGACTATTGCTCCCGGAAAGCGATCCACTGATTGACTTAACAACCGGGTTCCTACTTACTTTGAGGCAAACAGAGGCGTGCGCGAGGTGTAAGGAAACCCGCCTAAGGTTTTGCCCGGCCCTGGATCCTCTCGCTTGCGGGGCGAGCGATCTAACCATTACCCCACCGGACTTGCGAGCTCAAAGCTCACAGCGAAATCCTGTGGGGAGCTTTGAAACGTTCTCTTGACGTGAAAGGCACAGCACATAACGAAGCGCAAGGATTATCATTATTATTGAAGGACGGGATTGTGCACTGACTGTTCGCGGACTTGCTGAGGATGGGTCCCCGAGGAAAGAACCAGCTGAGAGCCTCGACGTTGTCTTATGTTGAATGTGTAACGTTAATTGGACTGTATTTGCGCAGTGGAATAAGTGTAGCTTTGCCTGATCTCTGGGTCTGTGCAACTTCTTAATGAACCTGAACTAAATTCCCTTCAGCCCTAGTTTAATCAGCTTTCAGCCTCTCCGGTCCCAAAGTGCCGGAGAGATAACTGGGCCTTATGTTATGTAGAAATAGACGGCGTTCAGGGGAATTCTCGCAGTCGGTAACAGACTTCCAGGCAAGATTTCTGCCGCCTGTGCCTCAAACACATGGTGCTTTCTGTCAGGAAAAGAAGCTATGTCGATGGTCTCTGAAGGGTGTGGGTTCAAGTCGGGGACTTTGAGCTCCATAGTCGAGGCCAAAGCTCCAATGCAGTCCCCCGTAGCTCAGTGGTTAGAGCGCTCGCCTCGCAAGCGAGAGGACCCGGGTTCGATTCCCGGGCGGGTCAGGGCGAAAGCTTAGGCGAGTTTCCTTACTCCGCACCCCTCTGTTTACCAGCAGTAAATAGGAACCCGGCTGTTAGTCGATTGGCGGATCACTTTCCTCGGGGTGGGGTAATAATCCCGTTTTGTTTTTTAAAAAATAATAAATTGGTCACTCAATCCGCGGGTGTTTGCGGCGGACGCTGCCGTGTAATCGAAAAAAACCTCCGCACATAGCAACCGCAGACAACACTCCAGTGAAGCTGTGGTCCTCGACAAGTTGCAGTTTGAGTCAATTATTTTGAACGCCTGGAACGTAGTCTCGAGCGATATATGAATAAATATATAGACTTTTTGTCAACAACTTTGAGAACTTCCCGCAAACGCGATCGTGTTGAAACTCTTCGCCCTCTTTTTTGCCCTCTTTCAAATCCCTTTACTGTTTCTCCCCGAACCCCGAAAAGGTTATTCTTTCCCCCTCACTTAATCTCCGCGCTAATTAAAGGTGATCAACAGCAACGACCGCCCCCAAGTGACATGCGTAAAGCGCCTTTCACGTCGGGAGGACGTCCCAAGGCGCTGGACAGACATAGTTTCGGACCCGAGCTCGGGGTCGGGGAGTGGGGGGGTGGGGGGGCGGGTGGGGGAAGCAGGGAGATCGAAAGCATGGGCGAAGAGGAGGGTCTTGAGATGGGTCTTGAAGGAGGTGAGGGAGGCGGAGGGGGGGGTGGGGGGGGGCGATCGAGAAACGACTCCCCGTGTTTTATATTTTTTTCCCCTTCGGCTTTCCACGAGCAATCCATCAAGACTCCTGATAACTCGACCCTGGCTGGACTTGTCACTCCCACTTAAGTCGTCACGCCGTCAAAAACCCCGGATGCATACACCTCCTCTTCGACCGCGCCTTGGGTCACCCACCTACACCCCCCCCCCCCACCCACCCACCCACCCTCCCCGCCCTCCGCACCTCCTGATCCCAACCCCCAGCTCGGGTGCAAATCGTTGACCGTCCAAGCGCCTTGGGACGTCCTCTGGACGTGAAAGGCGCGAGAGAAATGTAATTTGTTGTCAGTGCTTGAAGTCGCACAACGACGAAGGAGGGGGCGAGGCGGAGGGATTGGGGTGGGGTTGGGGGGTGGGGGGTGGGCGAGAGAGTTCCAAAGCTTCGGGGCGTACTGGTTGGAAGCCCGGCCGCCGACAGTAGAGCCGAGGGGAACGGGGGGGGGGGGATGAAGCAGAAGTTATAATTCCGCAGTTACAATAGTGTGCACTTAGATCGCAGAACCTCGCTACGAAACCCTCGATATATTACCTGTCGTTCAATAACGTGACAAGTTCGGAACAGCTTAAACAATTAAAGGACCTCAGCGAAGGTGACATATCAGTGAGCACATTCGATGAGGCCTTTTTTTCCCCCATCCACCCCCCCACCCCCAACCCCGCGCTCTCCGTCTCTCTGTCTGTCTGCAATTATTTCTAAACATAACGGTCACTGTTAACTTGACTGAATGCGAACTGCGGCGCGCGGAGACCATTAAAATGGATCTCCTGGAGGCCTTCAGCGTAGGAAGGAACAACAACTCGCGATCGTGCGTCCCAGAGCGCTTGACGGTGTGTGGAGTCTGACTGACCCCGAAGCCAGGGGGAGAGGGAGGGATGGGGAGGAGAGTTTCCAGAGTTCCAGGGCGTAGTGCAGTGGCTGTCGTGGTGTATTCCCGTGAAGCGCTTTGAGACGTCTCGAAGGCGTGATCAAGTGGGTGGAAGGGGCTGGGTGAGTCGGTGGTGGTGGGGTGGGGTGGGGTGGGGTGGGGTGGGGGGGGGTACACGTGTACGTCTGCGTGCGGAGTATAAATCTCGAAGCTGCGGAACCGCTTGTAAAATCTCCCGAGCAGCGAGACAGGAGCTGAGCTCACAGGCCTCCGAGATCCTTGGCTTCTCGTCCAACAGCTGATAAAAATTCCCCCGAAAAACACTGGTTCCCCCGGGGATGAAAATAGCGATATTGCCATCCGTGCGCTCATTAATTCCGATGGCTAATTAATGCCAACGCACGCACGGTGGCTCTTGGCTTAGTTGATGGTGCTCTCACCTCTCTTGAGTCAGAACGTTGTGGGGGGGGGACGTGGGGGAGAGGGGGGGGAAGGGGGTGAGAGGGGGGGAAGGGAGTGAGAGGTGGGAAAGGGGGGGAGAAGGGGGGACGCAATTTCATTGCCACGTTTCTTCCCTCTTTCTCTTCCCCGCTCCCTCTCTCGCTCTCTCTTTCCCTCTCTCTTCCTCTCGCCTTTTCTCCTTCTTCCACCCCCTCCCCTTCTCCTTCTCTCTCTCCGCCTCTCTCTTTATTCCCCCTCGTTCGCTCTTTCTCCCCTCCTCTCTCCCCCTTCTCTCTCTTTCCCCCTCTCTCCTCTCTCTCTCTCTCCCGCCCCCCCCACCCCTTTCCATCTGCCCCTCTCTCCCATTCCCCCGCCTCCCCACACTCTCTCTCTTTCCCCTTCCACCCCTTTCCCCCCATCTCTCTTCCTCCCTCTCTCTCCTCTCTCTCTCTCTCTCTCTGCGTGTTTGGGAGTAGATTAAACACGAGCAGTGTTTGACGCTCGAGCGGTGGAGAGCAGCAATCCGGTGTGAAGTGGGCTCGGTGGCTGCTGATCACTGGGTGACGTGCGACCAGGCTGTAAACTTAAACACACGCACCTCAAACTCGGGGCTTTGAAGCCTCCGCTAATTGGCAGAAAATCCCAGCGAGCGCAGCCCTGAATCAAAGCCCCGCGCTACGCTTTGATCGCTCCTCTTCCAGGCCTCCGATACCGCTTTAATGAGAGCGAGGGATTGATCGTGGACCTGACTGCTTCCGGGCTAAATCCTTGCACTTGACGCCGCGGCTCATCGCGTCGGTCGAGACGTCTCAAAGCGCTTCGCGGGATACGCTGCGGCAGCCAATTGCGCACGGCAGCGTTCCCCCCCCCCCCCCCCCCCCCACCACCACCACAAACCCCGTCGTGGATTGAGTGACCGAATTATTATTAATTTTTTTCTCGGGAAGGGACTGTTAGCCGACGCCAATCGACTTTAAGCAGCTGTGCGGAGGAAGGAAACTTGCCCCAAGGCTTGGCCCTGACCCGCCCGGGAATCGAACCCGGGTCCTCTCGCTTGCGAGGCGAGGAGTCTAACCCACTGAGCCACAGGACTCCACGAGTCTTGTAGCTTATTGCTTAGAAGGTGTTGGTGAGCCTCAATGGTTTCCAAGTGCCGCTCCTGACGTGAATGGCGCTGTGTGGAAAGCGAGGGTATCTGTTGGTGAGCGAGCGAGAGAGCGAGAGAGCGAGAGAGCGAGCGCGCTGTGTGTCTTTATGGTAACTAATCTGTTCCTTTGTCCGGCAGATGGTTGCGACGATCACCTGGTGTCCGACCTGCCCGGCTCGGCCTTCAATTCCTCCTCGCGGCTCTCTACCAGCCACGGCCCCGGCTTCGCCAAGCTCAACAGGAGAGACGGTAATGGCGCCGGCTGGCGATCGGCCGGTTAAACCTCAAACGTTGAACGAAAAGTGACCCGATCAGACCCTCCGCTCTGTCTCACTCACTCTCTCTCTCCTCTCCCCCTCTCCAGGTGCCGGAGGTTGGTCCCCGCTGGAGTCCAACCGGCCCCAGTGGCTGCAGATAGACCTGGGCGAGAGGACGGAGGTCACGGCCGTGGCCACACAGGGCAGGTACGGGAGCTCGGACTGGGTGACCAGCTACGCCCTGATGTTCAGCGACTCGGAGAGCAACTGGAAACAATACCGGCAGCAAGACAGCATCTGGGTCAGTGCTCCTCATCATTAGCTGCTGTTGTACACCGCGCGCGCGCACGCGTGTGCGTGTGTGTGTCACATACATCTGGGCAGGTCACGCCCGCACTCGCGCCCTCTGTTTACCCGGCGGTCACTCGGAACCCGGTTGTTAGTTCGATCGGCCGATCGCTTTTCCGGGGGTAACAATCCCTTCAAAAGAAAAAAAAATAAGAATAATAAATTGGTCGCTCAATCCGCGGCTGTTTGTGGGTGGGGGGGGGGGGGGGGCGCTGCCGGGCGCAAATGGCTGCCGCGTTTCGCCCGCAAAATACACAGTCGATTCGCAGCGCAGTATATCCCCGCGAAGCGCTTTGAGACGTCTCAAGGACGTGGTGAGGCGCTCTATCTAACGCAAGGATTATTATTGCTTTTATTGTTACTCCTTATTATATTAATCCTCGGGAGCCGAGACCATTTAGGAATGAATATTTAACCTCGAGGCTTGACAAAAGGCAGGTTTCCCTGTTTATAAGACGGAGCACGAGACCCGCAGAGGCACTTAGAGCCCTACTGAGTGATAGTTGAGGCGAACCGGGGGAGCCATCAACTGTCTTCCGCAAACAGCCGCCATTGTCGAACTCTCCGAGAAGTCCTCCCGACTTGAAAGGCATTGTGCGAATGTAAATTGCCTGGCATTGTAACCGCGATCCGAAGTTGCTCTCATCTGCCTCGATTGAGATTTCTTTCTTATCTCCCTCCTGGTGGGGGAGAGAGAGAGAGAGAGAGAGAGAGAGAGCGAAAGAGAGAGAGAGAGGTTCCAGACGCGGAGAAAATTTCCGCGTGCGGGCGACGTGCGCTGTGTGACGCTCTGGGTCTGGTTCGGGTACTCTTGAGCCGGGTGATGGGGTTCCTCGGTGCTCCTGGGTTTGAGCGGGCCGGTTTCGATGCGTGGAGCGCCTGTAGCGCAGCGGTCAGAGCGCTCTCCTGGCGCGCGCGCGCGAGAGAGAGAGGATCCGGGTTCGATTCCAGGGCAGGGAGAAACCTTGGCCAGGTTCCCTTACTCCGCACGCACGGCCTCTGTTCCTCCTCTGTTTACCCAGCGGTAAGTATCTAAGGACTCCACGCACATATCTGGAGCCGGGACTCACGGTTGGGCTGTTTTCCGGGACGTTTCTGCGCGCAAACTTGGCTGCCGCGTTTCGCCCACAGGAAAGACGCGTGTGGGATGACGCCCTTTGAGGCTTCTCGACGGCGCGATAAGATGCCACGTCGAACGCGAGCAGTGTTATTATTATTATTATTATCGTCGTTTATTATTCAGTGAGTCTCTGATGGTTAGTTTACTCGGTAAGTGCTCACACTCAATTCGCTGCGTTCCCTTGGCAGTAATTATGGATTTGCAAGCAGTGATTTCTCTCTCTCTCTCTCTCTCTCTCTTTCTCTCTCTCTATAACTCGGTATTGATTGCGAAGAAACAAAAAAAAAGAGCAGGAGGCAGCGGCGAGGGTGTAAACACAGACCTCGGGACGGGGGGGAAATCGTTTGCAAATCATTCGATGTTTTGTTTTGCATCTGATTTGGGGTTTTGCACACTCAGGCCGGATGCCGGCCTCACACTCCCCCCCCCTCTCTCACCCCCCCATCTCCTCTGAACCCCCCCCACCCACCCGCCCTCGACCCTTACCCCCCACTTTCACCCTCTCGATCCCAACCCGCAGCTCGGGTACAGATCCCCTGACTGTCCCCTTGACGTGAAAGCCGCCGGGTCACGTGTTGCTGTTCGGTGCGAGAGAGGGTTAGAGAACACTCACACGCAACGCACACAGAATCCCACCAGAATTACCCGTACACAGACGGAATTTGCCGCCCTCCCACCCCCGTATTGCTCCGGGTCTAATTCTCTACCCCGTTAAGCGTGTTCGCGCCTCCGCGGGTTTCTGGTTGAGTTATCTGTCTCCAAGGTTGAGAGGCTGCGGTTTATCCTGTCGGGTCTCACAGCTCATCGCTCCCAGACACGAGGGGAATCAGTCTTATTACTCTCCGCCGCACAAGCCTGGGCATTCGTCTCACTTAATTCGCTTTCCGTCAACTCCGCACCATCGCCCGCGTCCTCCGCCACCTCGACCCCCTTCCCCCGGGCCGCCGAGACCCTCTTCCACCTCCGTCAAAGCTACCCCTCGCGGCCGCCCCCTCCCCTCAGCGAACACTCGCTTGCTTCTCGTCCCCCCGACCCACCCCCACCATCGCTGTGGAATCGTGCAGCCCCGTACCGTAGTGTTCAGAGCGCGTAGAGGAACCTGGGTTCGATTCCCCAGGCAGAGCGAAACCTTGGGCAAGTTTCCTTACCCCCACCCCACCCACACCCCCCCCACACACACACACAGTAAGTAGGAACCCAGTTGTTAGTCGATCGGATGGATCGCTTTCCCGGAGCTTAATAATCCCTTCAAAAAAAATTGGTGACGCAATCCACGACTGTGCACAATTGACTGTAATTTTTTCGCCCACAAAATGCACAGTCACTCCGCCTTCCAAGATTTCCGGTGAATCGCTTTGAGACGTCTGAACGACCTGATAAAGCGCATTATCAGAGGCAAGGGCTTTTATTATTATTATTATTACTACTATTATCATTGGCGGGGATCAACCATTCCACCCCCGCCCTCTAACACACTCTCCATCCCTCCCCCACTCCCCCAGCCCCACTTGAAGCCCTTCGAGTTGCCCGTTTCCCCCTCCTCCCCCCGTCGAGAAAGGCGCTGCGTAAATATCAAGCGCGGCTCGATAACCCGAGCAGCCTTTCGGTGTTGAAAGCGTCAATCCTATTTTGTTTCCTATTTTCTGAGATATTTTTTTCTCTCTCCCTTCCTCCTCGAGCCCCGCACTGTGTCGCGAGCTCCTCATCCAATAAGTTTGAATTGCTGGGCTGTGTAGACGACACATTTGCCCACGTATCTGATCATCCGTCTCTGTCAGTGCCTCTCTGCCTTCACGGTGGTGGGGGGTGGGTGCGGGGTGGAGGGAGTGTGGTAACTGAGTCGTCTTAACCCATCGATGGATTCTGAACGTCAGTAGAAACGAAGACACGGAACGTGTGTTTGGTTCCAACGCCCCTTTCGCGGCGGGAGAGGTATCCTCAAAGGGTTTCACGGGAACCACTGTGTGTTTTCGGGGGTGAACGGGGCAGACGATTTGAGCACGGCGGGCTTCCCAACCCAGTGGGCAATTGTTGGAGCCCTTTGGATGAGCCGTTAAGTCGTCTGGCTGTTCAGGTGGACGTTAAAGCTCCCGCGGCGCTATTAGAAAAGAGAGGGAGTTTCTCTCTCTCTCTCCCCCTCTCTCTCTCTCTCTCTCTCTCTCTCTCTCTCTCTCTCCCTCTCTCCCTCTCTCTCTCTCCCCGTGTCCTGGCCAACAATTCCCCCATTAATTAAAAATCCGTCACTCGTTTCCTAGCCGTTTGCGTGACTCGGCTGCCGCTTTCGACTACAAAACACGCGCAGTCACTGCACGTTACAGTAAAAAAACCCTGTGAAGCACTTTGGGATGAACTCATGACGTGAACGACACTGTCTTAAATTATTATTATTATTATAAGGTAAATGCGGAACCCTGGATATGCGAGTCCTAATGTTTCATTACAGTAGTTATTGAGTCTCAAGCATCGGTTTAATGTTTAACCACTTCAAACCGGGATGAATATTAGTGCATAGTGTTCGATAAACTTCTTTAATTCGGAATTGAATGCAGTTTCTCTTCCCTTTGGGGGACACATGTGATAAGTTAGGCACTTTAAGTAGTCACTGCTTCAACCGAGGATTGATTTTTAATAAAAGCCTTTAAATGTCACTGGTGATATTTATGAATGTAATTTGACCTCCGATTCTTTCACATCAAACTCCGTATAAGGCTCCCGTAGCACTCACAGTGTGTGATAATTGGAACATAGGAACAGGAGGAGGCCATTCAGCCCCTCAAGCCTGTTCTGCCATTCTATAAGATCATGGCTGATCTGTACCACAACTCCAATTACTCGCCTTTGCCCCATATCCATTGATCCCCTGACCTAACAGCCTCTTGTGGGAGAGAGAGTTCCAGATTCCCACCGGCCTTTGCGTGAAAAATTGCTTCTTAATTTCACCCCTAAATGGTCTGGTTCCAATTTTAAGATGATGCCCCCCTTGTCCTGAATTCCCCCCTCCACCCACCCACCCACCAGAGCAAATAGTTTATCTGCAGCTACATCCAATCCCTTTATGATTACAAATCAATTCAATTATAGCAATAACCCTGGTGAGTGATGTCGGGCCCTGTGGCGTCGTTGAGAGGTCTCAAAAATGCTTCGCGTGATGCGCTGTAAAGTGGAGTCACTTTGTGTCATTTGTGGGCGAAATGTCTGGAGACCTTTAACACCCACCTGAACACGTCTGCTCACGGCTATTTTACGGTTATTAACTATCGTGTGAGAGAGTAGATAGGGTGCTAGCTGTTAGCAAATCAACCATAGACTGATGCTTGTATTTTATATCTATATATATATATATGTGTGTGTGTGTGTGTGTAACTCGCTTCTCCAAGGAACCGTGAAGCAAAGGAATAGTTTATCTATGGGATTAATCAGATAGGGAATCAGGAGAGACCCAGGCTTCTAGTCTCGGGGCGTTGGTTTAGCTGTGAAGAGAAATTACTTAGGTTCGTAATCCTTCCAGTTGAGAAATTTAAGTGTGGGTGGGCGGGGAATCTGATTGAAGTGCTCCCGAACAATGAAAGTCTTTGACAGGTTAGATAGTGGGCAACTCTTTCCTCTGCTCCTGCCTCCAGCCCAGAGCGGATTCAATCGTGCAATGAAAGCTGGGGCTGGCAGAAGGGAAATTGGAAACCTTTTCGTACGCTCGCCCACCCACCCACACACCCACACACCCACACACACACCCACCCACCCACCCACACACACACCCACACCCACCCACCCACACACCCACACACACACCCACCCACACACACCCACCCACCCACACACACACCCATCCACAC